AACCTCGGACCGAACTAGCAGTGTTCAGTGACTTTACCGCTCGGCCGCTGGTGGGCCTTATTTGTAAAAAGAAAAAAAAAACACTGGGCGTGTACTACCACAGCAATGGGTTTTTGGCGGAATTTGCTGAGAAAAGAAAGAGACTTTTTTGGTTACTGTACCTAACAGAAGCGCCGTTACCCTCATGGAAAAAATTTGCGAAAATATCAAGGAAGGAAGCATCATTTATTCGGATTGCTGGAAAGGATACAATACAAGTGAGTTCGAAAATGCTGGATTTCTGCATAGAACTGTTAATCACAAATATAACTTTGTAGATCCCAACACGGGCGTTCACACACAACATGTAGAGCGCATGTGAGGCTCAGCCAAATGGTGCAACAAAAAACAGAGAGGAACAGCCTGTCATCATCTTGACTCATACCTTATCGAATTTATATGACGCCAAGCTCAAGCTGTTAATGGCGAAGACGGTTTTCAATCAGTGCTAAAAGCAATAGCCAAAATATTTCCGCCGAAAAAATAATTCTGCAACTTATTCAAATTCGAAACCGGAAGGGTTTAATTGCTATTTTATATTTTAAAACAAAATAATATAAAAAACTGTATTAAAAATTATCTGTAATTAATAAATGTACATTTTCTTTCTATTCATACTTTTTTACTCAAACTTACAAATCACGCCAACCTGGTTGTGATAATACGTAAGTACCACAAATTGTATAAAAAGTACTTTCATATGACAAGTACACAATGAATTTAAAATATTTAGGCATGATATCGTGAGTGTTCGGCCAACCCTGATTTTGGTTGCCTGTGTACTTTTATGTGCTGCACCCCCCCCGGCTAGAACGGCCTTGGGAAACGTAAAACAGAAATGTTACATTTTAATAAACTTTTAATTTTGACACCATAACAGGTACTTGCATACTATCACAGCCACCTTAGTAGAAACTGTTAACACTCTGGCAACCATGCACATATCCATTCTGCAGGCAACCAATGTCATAACAATCATTCAGTCATCATCATCATTTTCTTATATGTTCTTTTTGCTGTATTCCATGTTCCAAGGATTTTTTTGGATGAATTTCAATATTTTTTGGCCTTGCATTTAATAATATGCTCTAGTGGAATTTTCCTGCAAAGGAAGAAACTGCAGTAATATTTCTGCAGGAATACAGTATTTTACTGCAGAATTGCTAAAGAGAACAGTGATAAGTTGCTTGATAACCAGTGCTTCAATGCCGAGGTTGTACATAATGCCATGTTTGTGTAATTCTCTAATGTTTTGCTAAATAAAAACAGATCGCTGTGTACATGGGCAGAACAAAAGAAAAAAATTAAGAGATTTCACATAAAAATGGAAGCATTCTATTTTTTTAATATATCAAATACAGTACAAAGTCCGTAATCCGGATGTCCATTATCCGGGATGATCTATAATCCAGACCTTAAAGCCACAAACTTTTTTTTGTACGCTTTACGCATGCACGTTTAAGGTATAATGGACAGTATAAGGTAGGCTAAAATTATCTTTACTGATTCTAAGACATTTCAGTTAATGTTGCAGATTGCGCTGTTCCTTAATCTTCTAATTGGATCCGGCTTATTATTTTTTGCAGACTGTTAGAGCAATTTTATATAAAAATTAAGCTTGAATTTTCGATTATGTCAAAAAGAGTTTCCAATTCTGGAACTGCCAAAGGATCTACAAAGCGAAAGCATACTTCGGTGTCCATTAAACAAAAAGTGGAATCGCTGCAAAAAAAATGGATAAAGGCATATCCATCTCAAAATTATGCAAGGAGTATGACATTGGAAAGTCAACTGTATATGACATAAGCAAAAAGAAAATGGAACTTTTTTTGGATTCCGACACCCCATTTGCAACGAATAACAGAAAAAAGGTTTGTTATGCTAAAAGTGACAATAATGACAAAGTGATGATTGAATGGGCAAGACAGCGTCGCAGCGAGGGCGTGCCATTGACGGGTCCAATGCTAATGGCTCAAGCCAAAATATTTCATGAAGAAATGAACTTAAACACTGAGTGCACATATTCAACAGGTTGGTTAACCAAATTTAAAAAGAAATGTTTAATAAAGTAAACAAATAAATATTAAGCTTTTTTTTTTTTTTTTTTTTTTGTAAATTTTGATACCCTTTAGATCATAATTGCTCTTGATTTTATAAATTACGGTTTCATATTTTTAATTGTATAATTTCTGCATGCCATCTTACCAGATTTAATTGATGATCTATAATCCGGAATTGCCGAAGTCCTGACGAGTCCGGATTATGGACTTTGTATTGTACTTATTTAATAATTAAAATTTTTATTTTAAAGTGTGTTTTCTTTTGATATATTGATAATGTCTGCTGACTTATGATAAATATTGATTAATAGAAAATTGTTTTTAAAAATGTCATGAAAATTGCCAACTTGCATCTGGCAAATAACTTTTATCTTTTCTTCTGTAAAAAATCAACAGACTGAACATTCAATCACCAGACTGAAATCACAAAACAACAAAAAATCACCAGATTGATTCAGAACAGATGAAACAGTGGTTAATTTCAATCATCAGACTGAAATCAACCAATGGTCATGAAGGTTGTGTTAAGATATAAGTGCCAGATAACAATAATACTAATAGATGAGCAAAATAATAAACTGAATCAAATGAAAAAATTAAGGAAAAGCATAATTTGCAGTGTTAGCTGCATTTAAGTTAATCAGAACCTGATTCTTTCTCCTCCTTTCCTACTACGCCCACAAAAAGAAAACAGCATATTCAATATTCTAACCTAATTAAATATTTGCCTGCTATAACTATCTGAAAGATGAAAATGAAACTGTGATTCATTAGCTGGCAGATAACGACATGAATTCATTATCATGGATAATGTTGTTCTTCAGGGGTTAAAAAAGGGGGAACTCAGCTAATTGAAAAAATAAGTGATTTATGGCATATTTGCTTTTGCTCCAGTATTCGTTTTACACAGATTTGGGGGGGGAAGAACTAAAAAAAGTTTTACAGGAGGTTAAAAAAAAACAGATCATTCTGATTATTGGACATCCACTTTGGTTTAGTTGATTATGGCACAGACACTGAGGAGTGATCTATCTGGCCCAAGGAAACTGATGCTTTTGTGGAAGATTTTCTAATATTAGACCTCCTTCCAATTTTAGAAAGAGTATTTAAAACACAGGGTCTCCCTGTAAATATTTTTAAAATTCATAAAAATTGGAGGAATTGGTAGAATTGAATGCAGCTTGCAAAAAGTTATCCTCATGAAAAGAAACTTTTGGTGGGGGTGAAGGGGAAAAATAGTTAAAATTTTCATCAATAGAGGGTGCTGTACAACAACAAATCATATATTTCAAGGAAAGCTACATTTTTGGGTCTTAAGTCCGGCGAGTGAAGGGCACCACTCATTTCGACAGTGACACCTAATTAATTGCTCTTTGGTTAATGTTCTCAGGATTGTCTTCACTTTGGTTGTGATATAAAGGAGTTGCCTTGTCTTGCATGAATGTCACTGTGTCAAGGTCATTATGTTCCAGTAAGTGCGGTATTAACTTTCATCTGCAGCAGTTACAAATAGCATTTTCCAATAACTGAGCAGGTCTTCTAGCAAGCTTTTGCACAGCACTTATCAAAGAAAAAAAAAGGGCCCACAATAATGGGCGCAGTGAAACCACACCAAACAGTAAAACGTGGTGAATGTAGGGGCTCCTCATTATAGGCACATGGGTTCTCCTTTGCCCAAATTCTACACTTATGGGTGTTGACTGTTCTATGCACTGAAAAATAGCCTGAACCTTTTTTCCATACTTTCCATGTTCGAAACATTCGTAAAGCTTCAGTCAGCAATTCTTGGCTGAGGTAAAACAACTTCACTAATAACACTTTATTCACTAACATCAGCATCACAATTAAAGCTTTAATGTATGAGCAAAATGTAATGTATGAGAAAAAAGTCAGAAATGAGCTTTTAATCCTAAAACCCGCAATTTATAGGATCCTGATTTACATATTTCTTGCTACTGCTTCTAGGCGATGCCCACTATTGCTGAAATTTTAAACTATTTTTTCTTATCTCCCCCTAAAAATTCCACTTTAACGAGAATAATGTTCTTGCAAATTGCTTTCAATTTTACCAATTCCTTCAATATTTAAAACATTTACAGACTTATGGGACACCCTGTATGTAAAGCAGAAATAATATATGAAAAAAAATAGCTGGTAGTTGGTAGAAAACTAAGAGAACACTATAATATTTTAATTTGAACAGTATTTTATTTAATATCTTGACCAATACATACAATTTACACCATGTTCCATCAAATTCTTAACAAGTTTCTAGAAAACAAACTAGTAACACCAAATATCACAGGCATCCTCTTTGAGAATTTTATTATTAGCAATTAAACATAATTTTTAACCACTCATGCAATAATTCCTAAACACTTAAAAAATATCACATGTACTTTGCAATACAGCACATAACAATTACATGAAATGTGTTAATAAAGAATCTGGAATGATGTATTAGAGTGAAGCAAGTGATAAAGATCTATGTTGATTTTAAAACCTGCCATTGAGATATTATAAGACAGATGTCATATAATTAGCTGATTTGTTTACACTGTTGCTTTGTTCTTATAAACATGGGCTTGTTTCACATTTCAGATGCAGTTTGATTTATCTTTTGTAAGTAGTTACATTCAGTATGCAAAAAAATGTATAAATGAAAATCTATTCAAGCCTAAAAAGTTTTTTACATATAAGTTACCTTTCACTGTGTATTACAATTTAAGTTATATTATCATTTGAAAAGACAAAATATTCCAATAGGCAAACCATTTGATTTTGATTATATGTAATAATATGTATATTTTAAACATAAATTAAATAAAGAAGTAAATATTTCAGCTTTCTAACTCAATTCAATCAAAAATTTTGAAAAATTAATGAAATGATTTTAAATACCTGCTCTTGTTTGACCCTGGACAGTAAGGCGCAAGAGCCCCTTCTTCTTAATTACAAAGCTTGAGCCAATAAATATGCTTGAGGTTATTGCCAAACCAAGACCAACATAAAAATTTGTTTCTACATGAGGTAGCATATCTAATTCACCTTGTTCATTTGAAGTCATGTTGAATGTTCTTTTAATATATTCCTTTTAAACCTAACATATACAATATGGTTAGAAATATGAATTTAAAATGTAACTAAATGTTCTAAAGCTGAATGTTTGTAATTAGGTATTTTCAAAACATCTGCTTTCTTTAATATGAAAAATAGCATGTAAAAATTCAAAAGCAATAAAATAAACAATTTTACAACCAAACAAATTATAATAATACTGTATTTAAAAAGATACAAACTCTGAACCACTAATTTTTTACAATGTTGACAACAATCAAACAACATGCATAGCATAAACAACTCTGATATCAACATATGCAATTTAATTAATTATAAAAAGAAATTTGATTGGGTTTCCTAAGGCTATGAGCTCCAAGACTTATCACAATAACTGAAGTAATAATAATAAATAAATATGAATACCTTATTAACAAAAATCACCCACTCACAAAGTAATATTCTTTCTTTTATTAAACTGATTTGAAAGCAGGAACGTGTCAAATATTCAAAGCACGGGAAACTTAATTATATTTGCAAATCCAATTTTTGCTACATTAATATGTTTACTTCTCATACAACTGTAATACAAAGCACAAACACTGTACCAAATCCTCAATATCCTTATAGTAAATACTTTAAAATTCAGAAACTTAGACCAATCACTTGCAACACTAATTTCAGGTTACTTGGATATGGAAAAGCATACAAGAACTATCTGCCTAAACAGAAGGAAGCTTTCTAGAACGGAAACTGGCCTATATTCCCATTACACATGGGAAAAACCACAACTATTAGTAATTAGCAGTTTTAAACACTCAGCCACTGAAGGGACCAATGCTAATTTAAAACAACCCAACAAACTGCCCATGCATACTTACATTATTAGCAAAGTCATGACTAAAACACCTTTTATTGTCATCTTGTTCAAATAGCTAAGATAGTCTTCTGCACTGTAGTTTGGTTACCTTGTTCATATTTGATTTTCAATCAAAAGGAAGCTTAATTTTTTTTTTCCTGTTCATCCAAAAGGTTTGTGACTTGCACTTGTGAGCCTGGCTTTTTATCGATTTCAATACATCACTCTGATATATAAACTTTATTTACACTAAAAGCAAAAGAAAATACTATTACACAAATATGTTTTGTCTGGCTAAACTCTCACATGATACATGTGTGCTGGTCACGTTTCAAGCCCCCAGTGTCCTTCATTTTGCTCTATTCCACCAATCTCCCAAAATAGGTTTTTCAAGCCCCTTGAAACACTTCATCCACAAGTCCTTCTTCAGTCATGAAGAAAAACAGTTCTCAAAAGATGTTTTGTTTAAAATTTTGTGGCACTAGGAGGCAAAAGCAATTTTGCAACAATCTGCAATTAATCCTGAGGACAGGATCAAACACTCTGTAATCATGGCAGGGGAAAAAAAATGTGATCAGCCAAAGCCATGCCTAGGTATATTTTCACTTAAGGCAAAGAGCTAAATGTACATTATTCAATCAAATTTACTTTCACAATTCTATATTCAACAAATATAACTATTTTAAATTATAATATCATAACTTTTAATCATAGGTTTATATACTTAGAAAAAAGGTACTTACATATTAAGGCAACCACCTTAGTGCAATTTGGTGATTTTTTACAAATGAAAAGGTAGAAGTTACAGGATGCAAGCTGGTGGTTTGGTAACATTTTTAAAAAAGATTCCCAAACTATAGATATTTAGTGCAAGATGGCAAACATTATCAATATATGAAAAGGAAACATACCTTCATACTTTAAAATACAAATTTTAAATATTTTAAAGAATAAAACAAACTGTTACTCAAATTTTTCAGTGCTATTTTTCTTTCCAAGTACACAGCAATCTGTTAACACTTAAAAAAATGGGGGGAATTGGAGAGATATGGCAACGTGCAAACTCCAGTAACATTAGCTATCTACCAAAAGCATCTACTCATTATTCCCTTTAGAGATTTTGCATCAAAATTTTGTGCTCCTGAAGAAATTTTACTGCAGTTTCTTCCATCGCAGCCAAGTTCTGCAAGTGCATATTTTAAAATTAAGGTTCAAGGCATAAAATATCACGACTTGTTTATAAAATCTGTTGAAATACAATAGAAAGAACATGATCAAAAATATCGATGCTGTTTGACTGAAATGGTTGTCTGAAGAATCACTATGCACATGGTTGCCAGAGTTTGTCACATTCTGAAAATTTGGCAACTTCTACTAAGGTGGCTGCGATAATATGAAGTATCTAGAAAAATAATGCATGTAATGATAAATGATTTAAAATATTTAAATGAAAACACTAAAAAATACTTTGATATATAAACAGAAAATATCATTGAAATAATGTAATTAACAATGCAATTGATGTAAAAAATAATGGACTAAACTTTAAATCATTTTTTTACTCAATTTTCTTGCTCTTAACAAAGGAAAATTGTCAATGATTTTCTGTTATTTGAAACCCATTGAGAGTATAACTGATTTTTCATGGTTTTGCATTTTTTCAAAATTATATCTTTACGTGCTCACCTTATTAATAGTAACAAGCCATGTTAAAAAATTCTTAATGCAATTTTCAAATTTAAATATGGCTTAGCTAAACTGCATTCTTCAATTATTATCTTTAAAAGATGTAATTGTGGTTTAGTATTTAGAATTATTCAAATAAAGTGGCTTTGAAAACTAGATATTTAAAGCATAAAATTTCTCAAGTTTTAAGAGGTTTTGATATGCATAATATTCCGTTTAACTTTTCTTTTTAGTTCTGGGACTAAAACTCTATCACTCCTTTCATTTTCTATTATGAAGAAATATTTCCCACAAAAATTAGTTCTTACCAACTGATTCTTAACAGTCTGAATTATTAATCTTTTTCACCTTTTTTTTTTTTTGTTTGTCTTCAAACTTTGTTCATATTTTCATCTTTAACTAAATTTTCATTTCTCTCAGGAATATTATCTCTCATTTTCTGCAAAAAGAAAGAGATAATCCTTCCATTACATCTGCTTGTTTAGTTAAATATGGTTATGTACACAAGAGCTTCTGTGCAAGAGAAGGGATGCCTTCGGGAAGAACATTCTAAGGCAAACTGGCTCATATTTACAACTGGGAAAAGCTATAAAAACACACATGCAGCCAATCCATTTTGAGGGATTCGAATCCAGTGAAAAGGTTGATTGCAGGTTAATCTCTGTATTAAGTGCAACGTCTTATGTACAGTTTTAGTTTTTAATTGCAAGGCTTGAATTCGCCTTTCCTGTTTCATGCAATATTTAGTTCTTTGTTGATAACCTACAAAAAACTTGCTCCAACATGCTATTAATTTTAGTCTACTGCAATAATTCATCATTTGATGTGTTATATAAATATTAAGCAAAAATAATGAGCTGAACTAAAGAAATTTAACTCATTAATAATAATTAACTAAATTTTTGACTTGGTTTGGTTAACTGATTAAGAAAAAGCACTCAAGGTGCTACCTGCCTAACAGAAAAGATACCTTTGTGAAGGATTAGTGACTTGCATTTACATCACATAATAAAAATGCTAAAACCCTCAGTCAGCGAACTTGTTTGGTCAAATCTGAACTCCTTTTGAATTTCCAGCGTTCAGAGGCTTTATTCATTTGACCTAAAAATCTTAATTATTACCAATGTTTCTTTTAACTTGGCTTCTGTTTTAACCTTTTAACTGTCAAGTTATTTTGATGATTTGGGTGCATAAATTGTCAAATTTTTTTATTCCAAAAATGAAAGTTTGCCATGCAGTCAAAAAAAAAAGGGGGCTGCACCCTTTGAACTTTAACCTCTATCCTTTGAAACCTTCAGTAAAGTCCTGCTATCTGTTGAATTGAAGCCGAAATAAACTACTCACAATATATATTCGAGTATAACAATACGATGCACTCGAAAAAAAATTAGCCCGAGTAATGTTCGGGCTTGACATTTTGGAATATCAGTGCTGTGTCCGAGGTTATTTCAGGCATGACAGTTAAAAGGTTAATAGAAATATTAATTAAAACTTTAATGTTACTTTTTACAGTATACTTCCAGTTACTTTTCAAAATGCCTTCTTACGACCGATATTTACTGGCATTTCGAGATCCCCAATATTGGTAAAAAAAATCAGTATTTTTTCAACCTCTGATATAAGTTATATTATTTCTTTGAACAGTTTAAGAACTAATAAAAGAATGTCTTCTTATTTCTTAATTTTCTAGTCTTGATAGAAAATTTAACTAAGATGCTAATTCTCTAAATCTATTTAGCAATAACTGTAGCTCTTCCATGAATAACCATAAATGAAAGACTTGCACAATTCAGAGAGAATTAAATTTGGATAAAGCAGGAAAAAAATTCACAATATGCCTCTCATTCATCAATAAACTTTACAACAGGAGATGGAGCATGGAAAACATAAGAAAAATAAAGCAAGAAACTAACATGGTATGTTTCATTTTTAGGCATCCCCGCTTAGTTGTTTGATATCATTCGAATGAACTCTCTTAAGTTAGATTTACTGAAACAAACTCTAGGCGACTGCCATGCTTTCCAAATTTCGTTCATGAATTTTGAAAACTTTTGTTATGACGAAACTGAAGCAGTCTGAACTTTAATGGGAATTTTTACATCCAAAATTTGCAGTTAATGGGAGCGTTTCAAAACCACTAATGAAGCCAGCATTTCCTGGGCAAATTCAGCTTGTGTACTTCATTACCTAAACATTAATCAATGTGACCATCTCAGTTTCAACTCCAAGGCACACTGCCTCATACTGTGTATGTGATATTGTGAAACAACAGCAATTTAAAAAATAAATTAATGCCTTTAATTCTTTTCTTAATTCAGCTGAATTTTTATCATACAAGATATTTCTGAATCCATTATCTTAAAATCCATGCAATGAAAAATGTGCATTAAAGAAATTGATTGTAGGATGGAAATAAAGTAAAATACAGTCAAAAGTCGTTAATTCGGACACTCATAATCCGGAATGATCTATAGTCCGGACCTCAAAGCTACAAACTTTCTGCGCAGGCGTTTACGAGAGCGCATGAGACCCTTACAGCTGCGAATATGTTTGTGCGCATGCGTGTTTAATGTGTAACGGAGTTATACGCTAAGCTAAAGTTATCTAATTCAGTTAATGTTGCAGATTGCGTTGTTCCTTAATCTTCGAATTGGATCCGGCTTATTATTTTTTGCAGACTGTTAGAGCAATTTTATAAAAGTAAGCTTGAACTTTCGATTATGTCAAATAGAATTTCCGATATATATTTACTACAAAGCGAAAGTATGTTTTGAAATCCGAAATCTGTTTATCAATTTCACACTGCTCTGCGGCAGAGGGGGGGGGCAGAAACGTCATTATTAGATTATGATAGATTAGAAAGATTATGTCAAATAGAATTTCCGATATATATTTACTAATATGTAATTTGTATCTACAAAGCGAAAGTATGTTTTGAAATCCGAAATCTGTTTATCAATTTCACGCTGGCGGATTGGAAGTTGATCTGTCAGCACTATCCTTATCTTCAGAGCAGATGTTTTTATTTTATTTGGTTTATAATTCCGTACTAAGTGTAGTATTTCATCTCGATATACTCCGTCTTTGATATGATTTAAATCAAGTTCCTCGTCATTTATAATTCGCTTCCGATAGTGAAGAAAGTGACCCAGAGGTTATTGAAAACGAAACATTTCGATTGACAAATTAGTCGGTATTCTCAACACAGCAATTATAGGACTTGAACAGCGGAACTTTGTAACTAAACAAGAAATTATGTCTGTTTAATAGAATTAAAGAGAAAGTATTATCACATGAAACGAAGCAACTTACATTGAAGGAAATGTTTAATAAAGTAAACAAATAAATATTAAGCTTTTTCTTTTTGTAAATTTTGATACCCTTTAGATCATAATTGTTCTTTATTTCATAAATTACGGTTTCATATTTTTAATTTTGTAATTTCTGCATGCCATCTTAACAGATTTAAACTGATGATCTATAATCCGGAATTGCCGAAGTCCCGACGAGTCCGGATTAACGACTTTTGACTGTAGTTAATTCATACTTAAATGAATTTTGCTGTATATTACATTAACACTATACTGTGTTAAATATAAACTAAGAATTGCCAACCTAACCAGGGAAATGGCTCGAGAACTGATCAATGAAAATCAGACAATTGGCATATGGCACCCAGAATGAAAACACCATGAATACTTTTAAATTAATATAAGCTGTGTTAACAAAGATATGAAAAAGTATGCTTCTAGTTTCAGGATCTAAAATTAGTTGTAATTTCTTTTTGAAATAAATTTCAAATTTTTCATTGCTCAGCACTGCATTTACAATAGCCTTTGGTCCTACAGTTATACCTTTTATTCAGGCTGGGTACGTCTCCTAGAATTCAGCTTCAAAAACTCACTTTATCATACATATACATGTCTATAGATAAGAAATAGGAAGATAAGGTGGCCACAGATAGAAAGACATGAATATAAAAATACATGAAAATAAGGAAACTACAGATGAAACTTCCAAGTTGCAATCCCACTAGGAGCACTAATTTTCTTAGCTGTTTTTTTTTTTTTTTTTTTTTTTACACAACCGTGAAATAAGAAAATTCCCTTTCCTGTATTAAAAGTTAAAAACTTCCCAAGGTATACAAAAAAAAAAAAAAAAAAAAAAAAAAAAAAAAGACACACACTGACACCATTGCATAGTTATTTTGATTTTTGGAAAGCACATTTTTTCTATGCAAGTTAGAAAGAAACTTTTCATGTATTACTTTGCTTCTTTTACAAAGAAAAAAAAAAAAAAATCTACTTATGTTTCTTTTCTAAAAGTAAATAAACATCCACAAAAATTTTATATCACACTTATGCTTATAATAGCACTGAAACTGCACGAAAAAGAAAATGAAACACAGTTGACCCTTGATGTGAACAGGGATCAGGCATGAACATCCCAGGATGTTCATGCCAATTCAGGTATTTTAGACTCCACAAAAATTTACAAATAGTCCACTGCTGACAGAAGCCTACTTTCACTAACATAAACAGTGAATTAACACATATTACTTATGTTTATATGTATTATGTGTTATATTGTTATATTAAAATATGCCACAGAAAGAAAAAAAAAATTCTGAGAGAGAAAATTCATCAATAACTCTGCAGTGTATTTATCCTTAAGTCCTTTATTTACATGCTCGGTTGTATGTCTGTCAGTACTTGCATTACTATTACCCAACAGATTACAAAACTATGTGCACATGTTATACATAATGCTCACATTGGATATCAAAAATTAAATGTTTGGAAAATCTACAATATATATTAAAAATTATGTTTTCTTCAAATGTCTCAACTTCTAGTAAGCAATGCCAACACAATTAAATGCATTTTACAAGTGTTTTCTAAAGTTTACAGTAATATACTGGCACAATGACAATTAACTGAGAATTATATAAAAGTACACTTTATTACAATGACCAATTTATTGCACTGAGATATTTTGCAGACTAAGATAATATATTATGCAAATATTCACAATATCTGATCTCACACCAGTACTTGCAGAAGGTAGTTATACCATTATTTTACTGACACAGTAAGTACTACAGATAACATCTGTTTACATTTCACTCACTGCTAATGGTCCAATGTGAAGTCTGCAAGTGTTTGTATGGAATCATATTGGTAATTAACATTTTGTACTAAATTAGCTTCTGTAACCATTTTATGCATGCATGGCATATTATATTTTTATGGTTTACTTTATATCTGTAGAATGTGTAATACATCTGCTTTTTTCAAAGATCTAAATCATCCAAAACAATAACAAAAAAAAAAAAAAAAAAAGTTCACATACAGGCAAAATCACTCTTTAAGCTTACACAATTCAACTTTACTGTATGATTAAAACATCAAATGGGATTTCAACACTGCATACTTGAGTCTTAATTTCACATCAAAGTAGTCTGACCATATGTACTATTCTGAGTGGGACACTACTGTTTCTTGACATTTTCTGGTCACCCCATTGTTTTGATAAAATAACTTTATTCCATTAAAAAAAAAAAAAAAAACCCTACGAATATGCTTTTACCACTCAACCATAAATTACTGTTCATAATCTATAAGCATTATCAATATCATGAATGCCAAGTTAACTATGCAGCTGGATTACTCAATTTGTTGATCAAGACTGATATTTGTTGTATTCAAAGTGAGGCAGTATCCTGAGTTTCTGTTACAAAAACTGTGAGGCAGTTTGATAGAATGCCTCTAGCTGATAAACAGATACAGAATTCTTCTTAAATGTATCAAAGTATTAATGTTGAAAAAATATTTACCATTATGAATAATGGACAAAGCAGAAATTTAAAGTAGGAAATTTAATTCAGAAATCAAACAACAAAAATCAGCGTTATATTTACAAAGTTTTCACAGGACTAGTTTCGATGGTTTTACCGAACCACCATCTTCAGCTGCAAAACCGCAAATGAATGAAGGAAATTTAAGTTAGTAAAAACTAAACTGAGATACAAATAAGTATTTTAAGTCTTAGGTACAGAAAAAAAAACCAAAATGCTGTTAACTAACTTCAATAGAGAAATATGCATAACAGAATGGTGGGAAACACAGTTCAACTCAATAAGTGAGAATATATTTTTATATGGTTTTGAAAAGAATAATGAAAAAAACATTCAAATGATTTTTCAAATGAACGGCACAGCTTTAGTATTAGTCCTTTTTGTCGCGATAAATGAAAGATTATGATAACTTTGTTATTTATGGTAATCCTAAATACTGAGCTGAAAAACATTCCGCCATTTCTGTCCACGTAACTTTAACGAATTTGGTCAGAGCTTTGATGGCAGGAGGGATAAATTGCATGTTTTTCTTAGTTATTTTCATGTTAGTAAAGCACAACATTTAAAATATTTTTAAAATAGCCACATGAGTCTTGACATTTTTTCATATGTCAACTCTGCATATTATAAATTTTACGCCCCCCCCCAAAAAAAGAACACATTTTTAGTAGCATGAGGTAAACTCTTGGTGTTTCCTTTGCTAAGGAACCACATGCAAATTTAGACTTTTAGATGTTTCTTAAAATGGGCAATGATCAAAATTATCATGGTCTAAAAATACTTTTTTGTCTCATTTCTTAAATTAGAACTATAGGGATGTGTAATTGCATGAATTCATAGACCAAAATTAGGTTTCATTATTGCTTTTATAACATTTTTATAATTTGTCCGACTATAAAAAGTATAATGTTTCTTAGATTATGGAATATATTGCTTATAATTTACAGTTCTCAAATTTTATAAATCTCACAGTCTAATAGCTATATAAGAATAACCTTCACTGAGTATTATTACTTTTATTGATAGTATGTTGACATAACATTCGACTTTTTATTTTAAATTTTATGCAAATTTTCTACATTACTTAAACATTTAATCTAACAGAAATCTGAATTTTTTGTAATAAAAATTCTATACTAAAAGTAAGAGTACAATTTACATATAAAAATTTGATTACATGGCAAGCAATTAGATACTGATTTCAATGTCTTTAAATGTAATTATTATAAAGTTTAGATATATTTTTATTAAGTTAAGATATGCTCTTATTCTATTAAAAAATTTAAATGTACTGAACAGAAGGCACACAATGTGTTTACGACTCAGTCAACCACTTGTGGCAAGATAACTTATGATAAGAATTAAGTTCAAATGTAAAATTTAAATTCAAATAAATTTGTAGCCAAAGGCTACACAAATCAATTTAATGCAAAGTTGGTTCAAAATGTAACCAGCATGGAATTCAATTATCAGCAATTATAAACAGGACTGAAGACTACAAATCTTATCCTATCTAGCAACCTAGTAGAATGGCCTCTAAAGGCAAAACACGGTTTGTTTTACAAACTAAAAACTTCATTTGGATTTTGGTGGAAGAACGGATGGGGAAACTAACAGTAAAAATCCCAAACATAAAAAAACTCTGGTTACAAAATAAAAGAACGTTACATTATACTTTGTTCCCTGATAATTATTCACTACATGAAATAGTGTAATGCATTTTTGTTTGCATCATATACAAATTATTTATTTTATTTAAATGCTGTCCAAAACTGAACAGGATTTTGCAAACATATTGACCATATTTTTCGACCTATAGATGCAACACTTTTTCACTTCAGAAGAATTAGAATTAAAAAATAAGAAGAGAGAACAGTATTTATGAATAGAAAATAAATATATATGCTAGCTAGCAGAAGGGTGCCTTCATAAAGGACATTTTAAGAGAAACTGGCTCATTCACATTGCATGTAAGGAAAACCACAAAAACTCCCATATAGTCAGCCTGAACTACCACTGTTCAGTGGCTTATCACTTCACCTCTAGTGGATTCCAATGACTGTTCAAATCTTTCACAGAAATCATCAGTTATGATGATTGTTGTTTTGTATGATTACCATTGGTACAAAATTTACTCATTATAATAATTTAATTTTAGCATTTAAATTATAATCATAAATTACTTGTAATAAATTGAGTGATTAAAAAATACACACTTCTTAATATTTTTTACCATTTACAAAATTTAATCATAAAGTATTTCTAACACTGGTACAAAATTTACTCGTTATAATTTAATTTGATTTCCTTCACTTTGAATTTTTTTTTTTTTTTAATTTTCTTTTAATAACAGAATCTAAGAAACTAAAGTAACATATACTAGTTTGAAATGCATTTATTAACCTTTTTGTAAATTTCATTATTCATAACATAAAAATTAACCTTTTGTAAATTTAAAATATTAGCTAAATACTAATATAACATAAATATTAACTAATTACTTAAAAATTAATAATATAATATAATACATTAATATTATATTTTGTAATTTGTAATTTAAAATATTAACCTTTTGTAACTTTCATTATTCACAACATAATCACTACCATAAGTACATTTACGGTAGTGTTTCAAGAATTTATCATAGCAGTACTAGAAATGTTGAAAATTTGAGAAAGACTGTTTTTTCTAATTAAGAGCTTATTTTTTAAGGTTGTTATTTAGTCTAGATCGGGTTTTGTTGACAATCCGCCATTTTTTCCCGATTTTCAAAGCCGGGTCTACCTTAGCGACCAAAGTTTGTTGCCAAATCAAAAAATCGCCAAAAGGACCAATACTAAAGCTGTTCGCATTTGGCACAATAATGTTAATGTTTATGCCATAAAAAAAATTTGTCATATTTGTTATTATCAACCGTCGTCCTGTTTATGCAATTCCAACGGTCAATCTATATAAAGTGATATAATTTATACGGAATGAAGACTGATATCTAAAACATTTACTTTAATATAGCATATACAAAAATATAACTGTTGATTGACAGGAGCTTTTACAGAACAGGGGGGAAAACAGCGTTTTTATGAAATCAGATAACAAATATACAGAATGTAGTCAGAATTCGTTTTTCACACAACTACGTAATAAGAAATACTACTGATATGACACATGGAGACAACTGAAAAAAGATCCTTTTACACAACACAAAAAAGAATAAAATATACGAAAGAATTACTAGAATATATAATCAACTTAAAAAAAAAACTTCATGTCATTTTTTAAGTCTGCTTATCTGCGAAAACAATCAATAAATTTCAAGATTTATTTCGGTTAATAACACCTGACGCCTCCCTGCCGTCAGCAGATGCCTATACAGACCCACTACTTTATCCAAACAATTAGCGTCTCGCTTTAGCAGAGATTATGCTTCACGCATGTGCAGTAGAGATACAGCATGGTAACCTTCCTCGCTTGGCGACGAGCAAGGAGGTTTTTTAAAATTATTTCTTCTTTTAATCTTACCACATTTATAGATCTTTTTTGGGCTCTACAAACGGGATTATGATTGATATCTATCTCATGTAAATCCAACCAAGAGTCTCATCGATCAAAGCAGCAAAAATACTTACCAAATTTTGGAGCTTTACTTTAATGTCCTGAGCTAGGTCCTGCATATTCAGGCCGGGTAGCAGTCCAGATTTCTTTTAAATTATCCTCTTATAGATTTCCACAGTATCGGTCTGGAAATTAATTTGTGCGTCAGCGTATTAGCTGTTTTTAAGGAATTCAAATCCCATTTGACATTTGCCTAAAGGTGATGCTTCTGGTTCTTCAGCTGTATGCTTAATGCTACAGGGTCTATGCATCCACAATAGCTATTCTGTCTATTACGACTCTTTCCCCTACAGCTTCAAACAACCTTCAGCTCCATAAAATTTATTAAAAAAAAAAAAAAAAAAAAAAAAAAAAAACCTTTCGTCAAGAAACTGCTCGGTATGTCGGTATCTAACCATGCAACTGAATCACTACCATTTAACACTACAACACGCCGAATAAATACTAATTCAGAAGTCAAACAACAAAAATCAGCGTTATATTTCAAAATTTTCACAGGACTAGTTTCGATGGTTTTACCGAACCACCATCCTTCAGCTGCAAAACCGCAAATGAACAAGATAGGAAATAATGATTAGATATGATAAGAAAGCCTGGACAAGAATAAGCAAGTGGCGCCATCTGTTGGCGAAACCAGAACTAAAACATAATTTCTTAAAGCCGAAGGCAAATTTGGATTGGAATTAGGATCGTTAACTAGAACAGAAAGTTTTTTTATGAATGTGAAATGCCTCTAGAAAATCCATTTCTCGAATGGAAGATGTTTTTTGAATAATTTTGGCAGCAGAAAAATTGAAAGTGTGATTTTCGGACCAACAATGTTGAGCAACAGAAGACTTCTGTGTTTCCTTTTTTCTAACATATGCCTCATGTTTCTTGACGCGAAATTTTAAGGCTCTCTTAGTTTGGCCAATGTAAATTAAACCACACTGGCAAGGAATCCTATAAATACCCCAGGAATTCATATACGGAATGGGGTCCTTGGAGTATGGAACTCGGAATTTTATTGATGGGAGAATAAACAACCCAAAAGTTAAATTTTTCTGCAAAATATGTGCAACTTTATAGCTAATTGATGGAAAGAAGTGAATGACAACAGAATTTTTGTAATCTCCTAAAACAAGAGTGTGGCTTTTAGTGTGTTGAGATGAGAATTTTTTAACTGCTTGATTAATAATGTTGGGTGAAAAGCCCCTGTCAATAGCTATTGCTTTTAAATAATTTAGTTCTTTCATCAAGGGCTAGTTTGGAGGAGCAAACTTGAAGAGCACGGAAAACATAGGAATAAAATGAAGCTAACTTTTGTTTAGTCGGATGACATGATTTAAAGTGTGGGAAGGGCAAAACCGATGAAGGTTTACGGTAAACTGTAGTACTGAAGTTGGATGTGTTTATGTGTGACCAGAATGTCGAGAAACGGAAGAGAAATTGCAAGTCTCAAGTTCAAAAGTGAATTGAATAGCAAGATCAATAGAATTCATTGTTGAAAGAACTTTATTTAAATCATCTTTATTACCTTCAAACAGGGTAAAAGTATCGTCTACGTAAGCGGAACCATGCCGGGAAGTTTAAAGTTTCAAACAATTTTGATTCCATAATAATGCATGTAGATATCAGCCAGGATGGGACTGAGGGGGCTTCCCATGGCTAATCCCTCAGTTTGCTTGTAATATTTATTTTGGAAAACAAAATGTGTTTGTTTCAAACAGAGTTGAGTGAGAGAAATCCCCCTCAGTCCCATCCTGGCTGATATCTGCATGCATTATTATGAATCAAAATTGTTTGAAACTTTAAACTTCCCGGCATGGTTCCGCTACGTAGACGATACTTTTACCCTGAAGGTAATAAAGATGATTTAAATAAAGTTCTTTCAACAATGAATTCTATTGATCCTGCTATTCAGTTCACTTTTGAACTTGAGACTTGCAATTCTCTTCCGTTTCTCGACATTCTGGTCACACGTA